GGATTTGTGCCACCTGGACAAAGGCTGCTAGCTGACAGTGCCCCACAACATGCCACTATGCTCAGAAAATTGTGTGCTTTATTGGCTTTGTGTTACCATTTCTAACAATAAGGATTGAGACCCATTTCCCTACATAAACAATCTCTGCTCAAGGAAAAAGGGCTTAGCTGAGACCTCCTACCTGAGATGATGATTTGGGGCAAGGAGAACAAAAGACAAATAACATTTGTGAAATCCTCTTACTGTTTGCCTGGCTTACTCTTAAGTACTTTTCATTGATTGTCTTTTTTTATCCTTGAGACAGTTCTGTAAGGGAGTTAATATTTTCTATATTGTGTGCCTTGCATTAATTGCAATTTATGTGACCCTGTAGGACACAGAGTACAACTGCCCCGCAGGGTTTTTGAGGCAATACTCACCTCGAAAGCAGATCACTAAATCTTTCTCCTGTAAAGCAGCTGGTAGATTTGAATTTTCAACCTTACAGTTAGCAGCTAATGCTTAATCACTGAGCCACTATCAAAGTAAACTTCTCTTTTCTTGTGTGCAACTGAGGACCCTGTGTATTAAGGCAACATTTCAGTTAGTCAGGAAACTAGGTTTCAACTAACAAATATTTAACTCTCAGCCTATGCTTTTGCTTCTCCACTATGGTGGCCTAGTGGCAAGAAGTTGCACTTCAATCCCAAAAGCTTGTGGTTCGAGGCCACCAGCTGGTCCGAGCTATTAACTGCCTCTGAAAGCCCACCAGAGAGTCAGCTATGGGTTGGTTCTGACTGTGATACACAACAGCATGCCTTCCAACTGCTGCTGACCCTGGAATAACAAGAGAATATAAGCCTTTCAGATCAAGAATTGTATGCCTGTTTCTTCTCTATCTGCTGTCACCTCCAGGTTGATACTTTGAAAGATTCAAACTCACTGCCATCGAGTCAGTTCTGACTAATAGGAACCCTTCCTTCAGCTTCTAAGGCTGTAATTGTAGTGAGAGAAGACTGCCCTTCTTTCTCCCTCAAATCTCTTGCATTTGAACCACTGGAGACATGCAGTTCAACTCTCTAGTTTATTCTACAAGAGCTTCCCTAGTTTAATATTTAGTAGAGAAGTACTCATTGTGTGAATATTAGGTTAATACTGGTATAAAATCCCTGGTAACTGAGTGGCTTTGCACTGGGACAAAGCTGAATTCCTCAAGTGAGTAATCCTTTTTAAAATGCCCATATGCTTTTCAGTGGTTACAAGACTTGACAGGACCTAACTTGGAATTGACTGAAGCACTCTTGGCAGCATTTAGTCAGCTCCCTGGAGTGGAGCTTCATCTTAAACCCTGCACAGGCAGCCCAAGGAGCTGTTTATCTTCAGATTCCCTAAACTACTTTGCCCTGGAGGTGTGGAGTAAACAAGCTATTGAGGGGGACAGGAGAAAGAGGAGGTTCTGAGCTGAGCCTCTGGGCCCGCAGCCTGGATATCTGCTCATTTGTGTGTCTTTTCATCTGAGGGCTAGTCACCACCTGCATTTACCACAACTCATCCAGGAATGTAGTGGGAAAGAAAAGCAGGATTTGCGTACTCATCTGCTGGTTGCCAGAATTTCCCCAAGAGCATTATCTTTGCAATCTCAGACCTGATGCTCTATATTGAGTCAGAATGACTTTATAAGATGTATTTCAGTAATCTTTTTTTAAGCTCATAAAAAAAAATCCTAGATATAAAGAAACGAAGCATAAAACTCAGACTGTTGGGAAGTCAAGCTGAAAATTGTGGCAGCAAGTTTCCATTTCCATTTATTAAATGGGAACATAAACTTAATAGTTACAGCTAGGTGAGTTCTGAGAACCAGTTTTATTCTGTACTTTTCTGTTTTAGAAACATTTATGTTTATTGCCTAAAAGTCAAAATGTTACCGGGTTTGCCTCCTTAAGTACAGTAGACTTGGATTGAGAGCCATACTTTGCATTTGTCTAGTAGGAAAAAAGTAAGAGGAGTGCGTGACTGGCCTGGGAAACTTTCATTAGGTCTTGTTGAGTGTGCAAAGTGTGGGTCAGAACCTCTTTCTCCATTTAATGTGCACGTTTTTCGTGAAATGGAGCCCCAGAGTAAGATACTGCACACTCGCGAAGTCACATTCTGAGCCCTGTGTGTGCCCTCCCTTCACTGTTGTTTTCATTTTCCTCTCATGAACCTTGCTACCCTGGCTTCAGCACGGAGGCTGTAAAGGAAGATGGAGAGCCGAGTTACCTCAGAATGATCACTATCGTTAACATTCACGGGTGGTTCACTTATCATTCCTGACTGCACAGACATGGCAGCCGCTCCAAAGCGTCCGCAGGTGTAGCATGGTGATACATATTACATTGTGCCACAATGGATTTATGTATTCTGTAACAAAAGAAAAGTGTAATGAAAAAATACAGAAGGTAATCCTTTATTCTTCCACCACACAATTTATCAGTAATGCCTATGGATGATAAGTGCCAGGGATTTCCTCTGCTTGCTTTAACCTTGTCACCCAGGTCCGTTTTGGTAAAATGACAGAAAAATACAGACTAGGAATTTTCCTGTGTTCAAAAGTCTTTTTAAAGGATACTTTTAATTTATGAAAGTTAGTACAAACACAGAGCTGCTTTTTGAGCTTTTAGTTTGCCATTGCTGAAAAAAGATAAACATATTGGCTTGAAATAATGCTATCAGCCAGCAGCAGATTAGGAGAGAATGTAAGCAATTTATAATTAGACTCAAATCTAAAATTGTTCAGATGGAGCCCAGGTGGATGGAAGCGCATGAAGTCTAGGCCAGTACTAGTTTATGAGTACTCAAGAAGTTGTGTTCCCTGTTAGGCCCCCCTCATCCATCGCCCAACATATTGTCACAGATGGAGCACATACTGACTTCTGAGGAGGAAGCAGGAGAAAGCAAATCTGAATGCGGATGATTGGCATTTGTTCCAGCACAAACTGGCATAGTGCCAGAGCAAATACCCCCAAGTTTATAAACGTACAAGGCACTTTACATTTCAATACTCTTGCCAAAGTATCACTTACTGCATCACTCCCTAAATATAGTTTTGTGGGTTGTTGGTTTTTTTTTGGGTTGTTTTTTTTTTTTTTAAAAAGAGCTATTTCTTATTTTGCTTTGATCAGTAAAATAAACTTTTAAAGATTGTTCTGGGATGGGGTCCAGCTTCTGAGGTAAAGAACGGCCAGGGCTCAGGAATGATTCAGTAACAGAGTGTTCAGTAAAATTAGTTTGACAGTTCTCAGGCCTGCTGTTCAATAGCAAGAACTTGACCAAGTTAAAATGGATGATCATGCTAGCCAGACCAGCATCGGCTTTTGCTTTTTAACAAATGGAATGTCAAGGATTAAACAGCAAGCTGTGTGGATTTTGTGGTGTGGAGATGTCTCTGTATTAGGAAAGCAAATTGGGCCCTTGGTTTTGAGATCAGCCCCCAGCCCCTGTGGAGAGTCAGCCACCTGGTTGGGTCCAGGCTAGGTTTAAGGCCCCTTCTCAGCCAGACTTAACATTAGGAAGCTTTTCCAGAGCTTAGCTTGGGACTTGGCTTTTCTTTCCAATTTCTTGTCATTATGAAGTTCTGCCATGTTTTCTGGCCATGTTCCCCTTTGAGATACTTATGGGGAAATGGGACAGTAACCAAACTCCTTGTGTCAATTCCCGTGTTCCATAGTTGGAAACTTGGGTCCTGTTTGTTACATGAGCTATTTGGAATGGGCCCGTTTTGTACCAGTGCCCAAGCATAATGAGTAGTAGTTGTGTTGCTTGCTATTGTAATTAAGAATCTTTGTGAATTTATATGTCCACAGGAGATAGACTTTTATTTTTAAGGAATTTATTCCTTAACTGGGGTGTGTTTGTGTATGTGTTTATGTGTTCCTAAATACATAAAGCCCTTTCCCCAGTAGGCTAGCATAGTGTTGATCTATTATAATTATCTATACTCTAGTGGTAATGCTGTCTGACTTTGTAGAGCTATGTAGTTTCAAGCATTCCTTCTAAAGTAGAAATAGAATATATAATATGTCATTACCTTCAAGTCATAACCTATTCATAGCTGATCCTCCATTGGGTTTTCAAGGTGGAAAATCACATAGGAGGAGATTGCCCATCTTACTTCCTTGGAGCTACTGGTGGATTTGAGCCACCAAAAAGGCAAAGTCTTTGGACTAGTAATGCAACTCCCTATGGACCACACCACCAGAATTCCCATAGGATGAATGAATGTATGTATTCAACTGCTCAGACACTTCTGTCCTTCACTCAGTCCCCCACACAACAAATTATGTAGAGCAAGTTACAATATAAGATTGCCTAATAAATTCATTAAAGTTGAACTAGTGATATACTTTTTCTTTTCTTTCTTTCCTTTTTTTTTTTTTTAGTAGCCAGTTAGAACCTTTTCCTTTCCTAATTGGTTAGGTTGTCATTTTTCTAAATCCACTACTACATATCTTGCTTCCCATTTCCTCCCCTCGCCCTGTGATTTTTTTTTTTCCTTTGGGCTTCATGAGCTTTAATTTGTAGTAGTATCTGCCTATAGTGACCTCTGCTAACACAAACCAAATCTGTTGATCATCAGCCATTGTAGTATTTGACTTAGAAACTAAACAGAGTCCATTTGACACAAAGCTAAAACTCCCCTAACCTCAACCTCTTTTCCACATTAATTTCCTAGTACTAGAATGCCTGTCTTTTTTGTCTCTTTTCTTACTTAAAAACTTATTTCTGTCAAGTCAGAACTAACTCCCAGCTGACCCTCCATTGAGTTTCCAAGGCTATACACGACACAGGAAGAGATTTCCCAGCTTTCTCATGAGAAGTGCATAGTGTGGGTTTTGAAGAACCAGAGAGGCTTGGCTTATTTAACCTATTTGAAAATAATTGGCACTTTAATATATGCTTATATTTAAACTTCCTTAAGCACAGAAAATGATAATACTCTAGTTGAATATTGGTAATGATTTACTGTTTGTATTTTTCTACAGAAATGCTGCTCATGGGTTCTCCCTTATTCAGGTGGACAACACAAAGGTCACCATGAAGGAAATCTTGCTAAAGGCAGTGAAACGAAGAAAAGGATCCCAGAAAATTTCAGGTGGGACAGTGAAGTCTTATTTTGGCGGTAGAAGCTTACTCCTTACTCGTGTGTTTGGGATGTATGTTTCTGTGTACTTGATGGCTAGTTAAATTGTTTGAGATACCACTGATAGAACGTTTGAATAGCAGATTTATGAAAGGAAGAAAAAAGTGAGGAGACTTTATGGTTGTCCTTGTGTTCAAGAAAGGAGCTCAGTCAGAATGTGTTTTTATCTGTTCTAGAAGTTTTGTCATTTATATTTTGTGTTAGCTAAGACAATTAAAAAGACCTCAGCAACCCTGCTGCCAAGGAATCAATTCCAACTCAGGTCAACCCTTCATTGGATTTCCAAGCTCTAAATCTTAACAGGAGGAAACAGACATCCTCAGAGCGCTGGGAAGTTTGAACTGCCAGCCTTTCAGTTAGCTGTCCAACGCTGACCTACAACTTTAACAGAAGCCCAGCTTCACTGCCATCAAGTTGAGCCTGACTCATTGTGACCCTCCATTTGATTTCAAAGCTATAAATATTTATGAGAGGAGACTGCTCATCTTTCTCTCACAGAGCAATGGGGAGATTCAAACTGCCAGCCTTTCTGTTAGCAGCCTGATAAATTATGTACTCCCCTAGAGCTCCAGTCTTGAAAATGGAATCTGTCAAGAACTTGGAGCTTTGTTCTTTCTAATTTCCCATGAGAGAGGAATTCTGATTATTAATGTTTGGGGTATAGGGAGAAAAGTAGGCAGTGGGTGGGAAGTGCTCTTAATTTTTATTAAATGGGGACAACTTTAAAAATATGAGAGGAATCACTTAAGTGCACAAGCATCTGAGTCCTCATCACAGAAAATGGACTGAATATACTACTATGATATTTTTAAAATGGTCTCAGTACTGCTGGCATTGAGAAATAATCATTTTGAGAAATAGCTAAAAATTTTGTCATACCACAATCAACTTCAATATAAATCAACCTATATATGACCTGTCAAATAGCTTTGTAAATACATTAGATGTCTTAAACATCTTTGGTTTCTTTGGAAAGGAAAAAAAGAGACATTGCTCAGTGTAAATAAAATAGTTTTGTGCTCTATTTAAGGGAGGCATATAATCTGTTCCAGATTTAATTAGCTATCTTCAGATGAAAGCTGAAGTTTTAATAAAAGTTAGAAGAGATAACACAGTGAAGGACACGGATGAGCTGTCTCAAGGCCATATTCCAGGGGAACGATAAGAGCTGTAAAAAATGGCAGAGGAGAGCAATTGAATGGAGCAATGAAAATCTGATTCTCATAAAAAAGAGAGAGAGAGAGATGCTGGTAGGGGCGGTTGTAGATGAGACCTGCTAGCGTCTGCAAGCAATTTGGATGCTTGCCAGGAGTCATTGTTCACCCTCGGCTGTGGCGGCTCCGTCCAGATGTGCCAACTGCACGTTTCGGCTTTTGCCAGCTGACTGCGCCGTTTGATAACCGGCTCTCTGGATGCCCATCACTGGCCGCAGAGATAGAATTAAATGATGATGATCTTCCCACAAGTTGGGGGAGGAAACAATGCATATAAATCTTGATTTCATCTCAGCATGAGAAGTCTTTATCCATCATCACTCATAATGAACAAGTCGTTAGCTGGGATGAATGGTGTTCTGGTTTTTCCAAACACCTCTTTTGTTCATTTTTTTGGGTGACTTTTATCCACTCTGTGTGGGTCAAACCTCTTTGCATTTAACAGGTAATTGAAGAGGCATATCTTCTCCTTCCCAGGAGAGAGTAGATATTTGGGGATTCTAGGTGCCAATTGAATAGCTTTTAAAATTAGCTTCAACTACTCAGAGATGGTTTAATGAGCATTTGTCTTTTCAGATCCTAGTGCTATTCTCTGGGTTTGTCCTTAATTTTTTAATATAATAGTGTATTTTGTGGTATAATTAATTATATTCTAAGGAATTATTAGTCTAAACTGTCAAAGAAGAAGGTAGGTATAATTTTTTTAACCTTCTTAGTATAAATTCTGTCAGATTTTTTTTCTCTGACTATGAAACTTATTAATTTATTGGGATACAGCAGAGCCAGTATCTTTCCCTCTTTCCAGCTATCTTTGTCTAATAGTATTCCTGTTCATCTCTGTCTATTCCCATCAACCATATTCATCATACATATTTACATATTCATATTTGAGTGTCCCTGTCATTTCTGTCAGCATCTTTGCCATATCATTGGGAGCTTCATTAGCATAGTCCATACCATGTTATATTGCTAATCAGGAGACCAAGTATCTCTCTCTGGTGGTTCAAATCTCAAGCGAAAGGTGGATGGTCTGCTCCCATTATAACGTACAGCCTTAGAAACCCAGTGAAGTGTCATAGTTGGAATTAACTCAATAACATTTAATTGACTAAACTGACTACACAGAACCTTGGTAATTCGAACCCATCAGCCATTCTAAGGGAAAAATATGGTAGGCTCCTCCCATAAGGAGCCGCTGAAACCCAGTGGAGGGTCACAATGAGTTGGCATCAACTTGACAGCGGTGGGTTAGGTTTTGGGATTTATAAGACAAAGTGGAACAACCCCACATTATTTTTCCTTGGCTGTAATCTGTACAACAGCATGTCACCAGCTTTTTCTTCCAAGGAGTGGTTAGTGTATTTGAACTTCTACCTTTCTAATGGTAGCTGAACTCTTGATCCTTACGCTACCAGAGCTCCTTATTTTCATATTAGCGAAACCATTTGATACTGGTTCCTCCTACTGCCATGTTGGGGAGCTCTGGTGGCTTAGTGGTAAGGAATAATGTGCAAAATCAAAGGTATGTAGTTTGAATCCACCTTCTGCCTCTACAGAAGAAAAATGGGCAGTTTCCTCCCATAAGATTTACTGCCTTTGAGAACTCCCTGGAGGTTCAACAGTGAGTCGGTTATACCTAAACAGTAAACAACAACAAACAACAGTGGCCATATTAAGTCCAGTTTCATAAAATAGAATAATTGTGAGTTTGACCAAGGTATTTGTTTAAGGTTACATTGTTAAAGGCTGGGTATATTTTGTGTTTTTGAACTTTGTGATATATAATGGACTTCTTTTCAAAGATGATCAATGGGGGGGGAAAGTTTCTTCTTGTTATACAAGGAAACACAAGAACTTTTATTTAAAAATGTGATAACAGTTGGATATCATATTTCCCCATTATAGCGCATAAGCTTAGCGACGTAAAAGGCATTTGCTCCTCCTCTACCCCCTGAGACTCTGCCACTATGACCTGCTTAGTTTTTATGGGACATTGCCTACCATGCCCATGTCTGGTAAAAAATTAGATTGTTCAGCCTCTCCAGCAGCTTTCAGCTGATTTTAATGCAGAACAATGCTTTTCCCCTTGGAACTCTTAAAGGGAAAGAGGAGAAATACCAATTGAACTTGAACCACATGCCATGTTGAGATGAAATTTCTCACATTATTTGTTTGTTAGAGGCTATTTGTATTAAAACAAGGTTTCAGAAATCCTTTGATTGGCTGATAATGCAGTTCTTTTTCTTACCTTTTTCCATTCAGACTAACCACATAACCTTTTAAAGATAATAGTGAAATTAAACTACTTCATTATTACATCAAGATAGTGCATAATGACAGTCCTAATGTTTAGTCTTTTATATTTCCTTCTGGTGCTTCCTCTCAAATTTTTAGAAATTGGTAAATGTTTGCTTGAACAAGAGAATTTTTTTTAAGGTAAATAACTTTGTTGATGGAAAACCCTTATCATATGAGTTTTTTTAATAGATAGTATAGCATTATAGACTGATATAAAATTTTGACTCGTACTAGTTGTAATTATTTCATCAAATTATACTATTTATGAACACTGCAAGCTTTTTCCTATTAATATTCATGCAAGTATAGTAGCCTTTTCACAATATGTCTCAGTCAGTTTTCTGCCAAGGCCCCTTTAAAAAACCCATTTAAAATGTCTCTTTAAAAATTTCTGTCTAGCTTTTCATTTTATTACTGACCTACTTGACATTTGGAATCTACCTGCATAGGCACTTAAGTCCTCACTGTTTAAGGAAACTGCAAATAGAGAATTCCATTTCAGACCAGTTAATTTTAACAATTGAGTGGGTGTGTTTTTTAAATACTGAAGAATAGACTGTCAGGTCCCTTGTGTTAGCCAGTAAAATAAACTAACCTTTTATTTATTCAATGAAGACCTTAATTCATCAAAGTATTCCATCTGTCAAGGTCACCTCTCATAATCAGTGAAGTCCTGAGCTTCTTAGTATTTTGTTGTTATTTACAAAAGTTGTTACAGTCACTAAAACATGCGGTTCCAATCCTCCAGCTTCATCATGAGAGAAGGGTGGGCATTCTCTTCCCTTGAGATTTACTACCTCTGAAAACTCACTAAAAAGTCAGCTATGGGTCAGTTCTGAATCAGTGACAAAACAGTCAGATTACAGTCACTAAATTGTACATGTAAAAGTATTGAAATGTCAGTTTTTGTCGCATAATTTTTTTTACTACAGTAAAAATTACTTTTCAAAAATGTATTCCCTACCAGCCTCTTGAAATGTGATGAAAACAACAGGAACACTGTTGAAAATAGCGACAGCTCCAATTTCAGTTTTAACATTGACACAAAAATGTAGGTATCTCTTGATTGACAAAAGACAAAAAGTAGGATTTACTGAGCTGAATTCTTTTCTGTATAGGTCTGTTTTAGTGTTGATTTTGATGATGAAATGAATGTATTTTGTCTATTTGCTATAAGGTTGAACAGAATAATAATAACTGAAAAATTACTATCTTTGCTTTTTAATGTAAAATTAATTTTTATTAATTTAAAGATCCTTATGAAAAGTTTTGACAGTGTTAGCAACCTTCATGGCATTTTTTTGTATTGCTCACTTTTATGAAATTTCACCTAAAATTTTGAAGAAAAGTTCTAACTTTGTCAAGTGAACTTGTTTAAAACACTTCTGCTTAACAGAGTACCTTATTACTTTTAAATGAATTATGTTTTCACAGGAGTTC